TTTAAAACAATTAAAAGGAAGTACATTTTTAGGTAACACATGAAACTCATTGCCTCTGGATACTCTTGAAATCAAAATCTTAATGGGAGCCAGAAATGGATAAATTACAGTTGCATTACACAGGATTCATTTCATCTTTAGAAGAAAAAAAAGGGTCTTTGTGTTTCCTGGCAAGAGTTAGGTACTAAGTGGTGAAAGGATTTAGAAAGTGATTTATCTAATTTGACATAATGCAATACTTATCCATTATGAGGCAGCTGTAGCTTCTGCTAAAACAAGGCTATCCAATCATAATGTAAAAACCTCCAACAATATTGGAATACGTACAAAACCTCAGAGTGCCAGCCTACTGTTACCAACAAGGTACTCAGAAGAAAATCTTCCTGAAAGCAAGCTCTCTACTACCTCTCTCATTTTTTACAAGGTAATCCTTTTGAACCAATTGCTATTAGCAAGAAGGAGAAGGATACTGGATTAACTGTGCTCATAGGGTGACTCAACATGCCATGTTGCTGTTTTGACGGAAGGGCAGAGTGAAAGTTGCAAAACCCAAGGCAGTGATGACTAATCCAGTCCTGGCTTAGCAGCAACGAGGAGATGGATTGTCCTGTGCGACATAACTGTTGTCTGGAATATGGCAAAATGTGAAATTTGTGACTGAGTTTAAGTCAAAAGTAATTAAACAGCTTGCTGAGTAATGTAAGGAAAGGACAAAAACTAGAACACTCCAAACTATTGGCTTGCTTTCCTATTAACACAAGTAATATTCAGAGCTGGGTGGAGATCAAGACCGAGGCTAAGTGCCATCATTACTTCGGTTTGCTTTGCCCAGTACTAATGTTCTGTTTAAATTTATATGCTCCTTTTTGGAAAAGGTTATCACCAGTAGCAACAGGCAAAATATTTAGTACTGAATAGCCTGCATATTTGTCCACTAGAATCCTAACCTTTGGATATGGAAAATAATTTGGGGAAAAGAAGGATCAGCTCCTGTATCTGTTATGGTTCCAGACACATCCTGGTTTTAGTCAGACAAAAAAGAGCAACTGTCATAAAGAATAAATTCAGTGGCTCCTCTATTTCCTTCTCCCACCTCCAATAGGCGCTAACTCCAGACATCAGAAAAGTTACTCCATTTTATGGTAACTAGTACCTTATCCCATGTCAGAAGTATCACTCTACCTGTGAACAGTACTCTTTGACTTTTATTCTGAAGCAAGAGTTGCTGCCCCTTCTGCATATTATTCCCTTTAACTACAGATATTATTTCCATCAACTCACATCTTTGGGTGAAATCTTTGTCCTACTGAAATCAAAGGCAAAACAGCTAACTTCAAAGTGCCCATGATTTCTGCTATATTCTTGTTCCACATATTAATTCTGCTCTAGGTTTTAAGTACTTCCTTTTATTTGTTTGAACTCTCTTCATTTTACTGCATTCTTATTTTCCCATCCCTCACATGAGAAGGCAGTAAAGAAACGCATCTGATTTTCCTTATAGTACCTAATATCTCATAAACCTTTATCTATACAGCTCCTTTCTATAAAGGAGAGTCCACATAATTTCAATCTTCTAATACAAAATTCCAGCCTCTGATCAGTGTTCATTGCCCTTTTCCTGGTACCACACCTTACAGCTAGGTAGTGAAGATTGACCACAGTATCCAATATCAAAGCATACCGTTAATGCAACATGGCAGGCACAGCAGAGGTTCTCTCTCTCCTTTTCCTTGTGGCTTCTAAACCCCTGCTTTTCTGTTCACCACTGGGCACTGAACAATTACTGTACAGAGACGATGGAAAAAACTGCAAAAGGTTAGAGTGAAACAACATGAAAAATCTGCCCCTCCTTGTGATATTTATGTTTCTGCTGCTAGCCCTGGCTGAGGTCCAGATTCTGAATGAACAAAACTCCCAGTGGCTTAGGCACTACAGTATTCAGTCCATAGTCAGGAAATGCAATAGCATGTGACAATGGGAAGAAATAAAAAAAATAAAAAATAAAAAATAAAGCTTTCCAACGCTTTTGAGCTTTCAGCTCAATCAGTTTGGATCAAAACTCAGGACTGTTGAGATTTTGTGTGAATGAGTTCTCTATTGCTAAACAAAAACATGTGTGTGCTACAGTGTAAGACAGTTAAGTGGTAAACAGTATGTGGCTTTGCTTCCTCATTGATATTTCATTTGTAAGGTACTAGCACTATAAAACCTCATTTTATGTACAAGGCCACTGTTGTCTCTATTCAAACACAGTAAAGAATTCTTTCCCAAAACACAAAGTCATCTCCTTACTTCTCCTCCTTTCCAGAAAAGCTACCTGATAACTGTTGTTCGCTACTCAGTGTCTTGTTCCTTCTACAAGATTAGAATTTAAAGGAGTTGTGTAATGCTCCATGTTTATTGCCATCCAGTGATCCAGGCTAAAACTCTGCTCTTTATGACAGTTTTCCTTTGGGGAACTAATATCCTGAGAACTTAATTGTTGGGATAACAGTGGCAAATTCTCTTCTTTTTGTAAAAAACTTAAAATATAAATTAGCCAATTTTTTTCAGGACAGAGTGTTTCAGGGCTCCTGTAGACACTGGGCAGAGCAGAGATTTCATCTTCACTTTTTCTCCCAGGATGTACATCATTCTCATGGGGCTGATGCTTGTATTCACAGTCCATGTTTTATCTACAAGTCACAGGACCAGTAAACATGAGATCATATCAGTGCAATATTTTAAACATATTTTATAATTTCTCTCTCTCTTTTGCAAATTTAGTGTTAGTCCAACTGATCCAGGACCTTCAAGCCACAGAACACATAAGGCAGGAGGTGTCTAAGCACTTTCCTCTTGACCATTTCCATGACCAGACAGGGCTAGGTGTAAAATTCAGGTTTCTGTTTACATTTTCCTGAAAAGTATAGTATTTCTAGTTTGTGAGGACATTCCAAAGGAGACTCACTATTTCAGTAAACTCTTTCAGAGACAATCGTTTCTTTTATGGATCTTTTTTAATTTGAGGGTAACAATCTCACTAAGTACCTTATCACATAAATTCATTGAGAGAAAGTAGGTTTCTGCAGCAAGATTTTATTTGTCAGTGTGAGCAGAACTCAAGATTGACAACTGGGGACTGACTAGGGACATGGCAGAAAGGTGGCTGCCTGCTTCCACAATTGATGGTTGCTGCAACTCAAGTAGTGCTTCATGAGGGGAGCTGCCACAGCAGTAGAAGAGACTGTGAACCATTTACTTTATAGCGAATGAAAAGTGTAATTGAGGCAATTTGGAATCTGTGAAATAGTTCTTATTTCCTGGATGCTCTATGGAAAAAAAACCCAATATTCTGAGTCCTTGATCAGGTTGGATCATAGAGCTGCAGTCTAGCCCGTAAAGAGGAGGACTGGTAGGTTTAAAGGTCCATGCCACTTCGTGGTGAACAATACAAGGGCTTGGCATTCAAAAGTGACTCCTGCTTTGTTTTGCTACTGGAGCAGAAGTGGTCTATGAAATTCTTACTAGCTTAAAATATCTGCTAAATATTACAAGAAACATGCTTGCCACCTCAGCCTCCAGCAGGATATCCTGCACTTGATTAGCACAGATTCTGGCTGCCCCCCTATCCTTCCCCCAAGTAGGTTTCACATGCCAGAACCCCATCAATCGTAGGATCGGTGAGCGATGGGTAAAATCAAATGACACAACCTCCTTAAATGGTCTTTTCTTCTCTGGGTAGCTGGGACCCTGCTGGAAACAGTTTCCCCAATACTGCATCCCATTGCTTTTGTTTATCTATCCTTGCTGACATTTTCTTCAATTAGGAAACAATAGCTCCGTTCCAATGTACTGAGCAGAATTACTGAAACCAAGTCACGTGGCACCACAAGAGTGTGTTTTCAATTATTCACTCTGTCTTTTTTTGCCAGGCCTATGAAGAGGAACAGCCTTCTGCAGGAGTCAGGTTTGTCTGCCTCGCTGTTGTAAATTCCTCCTTTTGAATTTTTATTTTAGGATTAGGTATTTTTTAATTTCTCTTTTTTTTTTTAAATTTATTTTTTAACAGTAAATTCAACTCCCCAAGAGTTCCTTACTCTTTATCAGAAAACTTCCAAATCTCTAGCTCTTCCTACTGCCTGGAAATCCTAGACATCTGCAATAATTCAGTGCTAATAGTACTGTTCAGTAATGAATCTGACAAAGATCATAAGATATAGATTAAAGTGGGACATAAGATATCATGCTGTTAGCACTTGGTAATGTAAAACTCATCTAGTTCTTGCTAGTCAATACAAGTTCTATCTTTCCTACTGTCTGGTTAACAGCATTCAGTCTGGGAGCTACACCAAAGTATTTGCATCTTGTAAATGCTTGGTTCAACATCCAACCAAAAATTTAAACCAAATGGGCACAGATCAAATCATGTATTTTGTTTGCAGAAGACAGACTGAGTTAGGGCTTTTTAGACTTAAAGCTGGAAAAATAAAGCTTGGGGAAAAAATAATAATAAAAAAAAAAAAAACGGAGAAGGAACATTTGGTTTGCATTACAAACCACAGACAACTTCCATCAGGCATGCTGGAGGTATAAGAATGGCAAAAGAAAATGACAAGCAGTGAGTGCACTGGAGAAAAAGATGAATGTTTTGGAGAACTGACTTTGAAGTAATTGTCCGTGCCATCGATACCTTGAATTAAATTTGGTGGAAGATGGAAATGAATCATAAAGCTTCTCTGGCACTTGCAATATTATTTTCTGTATAATATAACATTTCTGGATATTTTTATTGGAAAACTTATAGACTATGTTTTTGGTACCTCCTATATTTCTTCCACTTATGCAATCCTGAATCAGCAGCTCTGGAAAGGATGTTGCCTTATTTGAGACTTAGGCTGTGAACTAATACTTCAGAGCAAGAACAAGTATTTAACTGGAAGCCTTCAGGTCTACTGCGTTTATTTTCACCTCAGCCACTGCCTTGCTTTAAGATATTAGGTAAGTCATTCAGGGTTAAACTTGGTCTTTGAGCTGATGGAGCTCTGTTGGGGGTGGGGAGGAGGAAACAGTTGATGCAGCAGGGCAAGAGAGACATTCTCTCTGCACGAGGTAAAATTCCACAAGAGCATTGCATGGGGGTGGGATGGCAGAATGCACTTAAAGCAATGTTTCCTTCACTGTTTCAACAGGTGCTTATATGTGTTCCCTGCATCCCAGATACTTAGCATAGTCAGAGAGGCATCCCTTGGAGTATTTAGTACTGATGGCAGTGCTCCCTGTTTAAGCTCAGCAGCTTTAGGCAGAGCAAGAAAGGACTACTGCATCTCTCCATCCTTCATTCTAGCATGCTGGTCTCCAGAGAGCTGTATTTTGACCATTAAGCTATCAAGTCTTCTGCTTACCCATGTGCTTAATAGCTGTTTTCTAATTCTTTCTCTTTGGGGAAATAAGAGCAGTTAATGCTTGTACATCATTGAAATCCTTGAACGAAAAGCGCTTTTTCTTATAATTTACCCCTGTAGGCAAGTTTGTTTAGGTCTGAATGTGCAGCTTGGACTCATTTCTGATGTTCTTATTGCTAGTGTCTAATAGCAATCACTAGGATCACAGAAACAGTGCTGATTCCTATTGCAGATTTTCAAGGGATATGTATTCCAGACACCTTTAGCAAGCACCTTGTTTTTTTTTCCACCCAGGTTGCTGAGGATAGGTACTTTCAGAAGTTTCCCTCACCCTAGCCATCCTATTGCTTTTTGAACTCCACATTCTGGACTAAGGGGCCAGATTGCATTTTTACCTACCTTCAAACATACATGAAAAACAATATCAGGCTGTACAAGATTAATTGCCTAATTCACAGGGGACATTAACAGGGTTTTCCCAACACAAAAATTGCAATTAGGTACATACATATAAAAGACAAAGCTCTAGGCCTACCAAAACACTTAGAAAGTATATTACTTTTTTTTTTTTTAAATAAAGAAATGAAGAAAATCTCCAAACCTTGAAAGTCTTTGCATATTAGTAGAGATAAATGTCAGTCAGATTTTAACTAATCAACAAAAAAAAAGCATACAAAGAATTGTAAACTTGTGATGCTGAATTATACCACCACCAACTACTTACTTCAGTTCTCAAAATTATACTTCTAATATAACTCATAGCACTTTTCATCTCTGTACTTCAAAATGAATTACTACATAGAGGCTCTGAAAAGTAGGTTCTCTCAACAGTGCAGGAGGGAAGAGCAATCTTAGAAAATAAGGTTCCAAATCAACCACAAAGCCCATGTGTTAAAACTGAGCTCCATCTATATCATACCTTTTCCCATTCCCTCTGACCACTGTGTCCTTACACTTGGGTTCAGATGTCCTTTTATTCATCATGTGCTCTGTGTCAGAAGGGAGCATGGCTGTGCTGTTGGGCAGTCCTCCATCCACATAGTGGCTACATTCAGCCACGGTTGCAAATCTTGTTATTCATACAAAGAGACACTGATAAAAGAAATAAGTACAACATTCTATGTACTGAAGGGAATGGAGAATACGGTAGCTCAGTTTGACCCTGAAAGCTTCCCTCATGCCACTGAGGGTAAAGGTGGGAGCCCAGTGACTTCAGTTCCAATGCTCCTATCCAATGGGGTTCGACTCTCCCACAGGAGCAGAGGGAATCCTAAAGACACACAGGACAGGGGCAGAAAACACACCAGCTTTGTGGAATGTGACATGTTCTCTGGATACTTTCAGACTTGAACTTTGCCCTGGAATAGTGTCCTGCTGGGAAATCCAATGAGTTCCAATACTCAAGGAACAAGTTTCTAAAGTGTTAGGGATTTGGAAAAGAGACAGCAGGGAGCAGAGCACTATTAGGACTGGTATGATGGGAAATACATTGTGATGGAAGGCTGCAGGAGCATTACCTATCAAAAATACCAGAAAGAACTGCATAAATAAACACCTTTTTTTTCCTTGGGAGATGAAGGGACCTCATTGCTGCTCCTCATTGCACACTGAAAAAGCTGTGTGAAAAGTTTTTTCTTTTACAAATTCAAATGGCTTCAGATTCACACTGAATTGTGTATCTTTCCAGCAGTACCATAAAACTCCCTCAGACAGGTACTCAGTGGCATAGTGTTTATAGCCTGTTTTTGTTTTCCTCATTACTGGGAGGAGGAGGAGGAGAGTAAGGGAGAAAATAATACTGCAGATTTATTATAAGGTTGGCTTGGCTTTATGATATGAATCTGGCTTGGTCAGAACTTGCAGGCCTCTGTTGTAGTTGTAAGAATCATTTAGAAAATCTGCTTACATTAATTTCTGTATCACCAGTGGCATTTCAAGTACATAGTGCTTACATACCTACTTAATTCTGCATAGAAGCAGAAGAAAAGCCCAAAACAAACACAACAACCCAGTTTGGAGCACAATGTACACACCTTTTCTCTCAATAGTATACCTGAGAAGTGTTTTTCAAATTACATGGATCTTCAATTTTGTATATAACAACTACAGCATCTTTGATTTATGCAAATCCTTAAGTTTCAAGAGGCATTTTTTCTGGAATGGCAGCATACAGTATCAATTACGTACTGCAAAACCAATAAGAAAGTGTGTGTAATAAACATGATAATAAAAATTAAGTTAGAAAGTCAACGTAACTAGGCTTCCTCTTGCTGAATTTTCAGCACTGACATACCTACCAAAATATTTCCAGAAGACTTTTTCTGAGAGAAAAAGCAAACAGTTTAACAAAGCTCCCCTTTGTTATCTTAACATGCTCATGACTTACAAAAGCTCCAACTTTTGCCATATTTTGACTGACTAGTATTTCTTCAGTTTTCTTTTAATTTTGTATGCTGAATCATACATCGAAACAGACCATTTGTAATGGGACTCTTTCCAATTGATATACTGGATCTATATTCCTTTATAGACTTCAATCCCTAATCAGATATTCACATCTTAAGTGCTTCACTGGATCTCTTTGTTACTGTTAAATGCACGGTCTTAAGTGAGGTCTGGTCTGCAAAGGTAGGAGTTTTATAGCAACCTAACATTCCTTACTCTCTCATGCCTAAGATCTACTTTTGCTAAACCACTTATAAATCAGATGTGCCAGGCAAGGAACTTAACCTCAACAATTTGATTAATCTTTGAATTGCAGTTGTTTCATGAATCAAACTTCAGAAGGAGCTTCGTCTTTCCAAATAATATTAGGAGGATAGAGTAATGCTTTAAAGTGTCTTCCTTTTCAATTTGGGATTTCAACATGCAAATTCAGCAGAAGCCCAAAGCGAGCAGCACAATGGAAACATGAAAAACATTTATTAGAAGCACTCCATTGTGCTTGGGGAGCATGGAAAGAGAATGAAAAGGTGAAGGAGAATTTAGTAGAGCACTGCACAGAAACAGAATTAGCAAGTCATAAGATATCACGTGGCTGTTAGCAGACTGAAAGGCTCTGTTGATTCGATTTATTCATTAGGGCTTTTCAGTAGTGTAGGTTATTAAGTGGGAGAAAGTGGGGTATATTACAACTTACTTTTTATATTTCCTTTCCTGGAGGATATTTAGCACCAGAGAAGCGGAGAAAGTTTCTGAAACTATCATGCCTCATAAATGGGAGAACGATAGGAAAAAGAGCAGCACCACCAGCTCTCTGAAGATGGATCGAAAGAGCAATGCTGGGAACAGGAAGTCAAGAAAGTTTCGCTCCATTTCAAGATCACTTATACTTTGTAATGCCAAAACCAGTGACGACGGGTCAAGTCCTGATGAGAAATATCCTGATCCCTTTGAGAGCTCTACCAGCTGGGGTCAGGAGGACTTTGATTGCTGTCCTAGAACACAAGTGCCATGCACATCAGAGACAGAAGACAGCCCACCTGATCCTCCACACGTGATCACCAGCACAGTCCAGTCCAAAGCTGCAGCAAACGAGAACTGCAACAACATGAGAAGAAAGTTACTCACTAAGGTAGGCAATTTGGTGCAGTATATTGTAATGTTTCCCACTGCAGCAGCTCCTAAATGGATTAATTCATACTTTGCAGGAGTACAAGATTTTACTTCTCTCTTTCAGCCCCAGTGAGCCTGCAGTGTTCCTGCTCTGTATAAACAGCATGAAAATGTATTAGCTTCCCTGCTGTTTTGCTGGAATCAGTGCCTGCTAGGCCACTCTCAGTGTATTCAGACTAGCACAGCTGGTGCTTTCTACCTGCAATATAGTATTCACTTCAAAATATAAAACTGCCGCCATAGTAAAGTACATTTGTAAAGTGATGCCAGGAGGTCTCACAAACTGTTTAAGAATGAATTCATAATTAATATTAAGAAAGACACAGGAGATTCAGCAGGCAGATGTTCTTTCTCTCTGATTAAGTAAGGAGGTAGTGATGGTTCTAAAATCACCAGCAATAACACTTTTTCCTAGAGATGTAAAAAGTCTTAACAGCCTCATATTACAACACTATTCTTTAATCAAGAAGTAACTATGTTAACCTGAATCTGAATAATTTTTCAGTCTGAACAATGTATTTTAGATGCCTTTAGAAAGTTCCTTTTCAGGAATTATCTTGGTTTTCTGACAATCCTGATTTAGGAAAATATCATATTTTTTTCTACTTCCTCTCTGTCCGTTGGTGTGATGCATGACAGGGACCTCACTGTAGGTACGACATGTCTTTTAGCAGTTTGGGTCCTCATGACACCTCCCTTATTATATGGCTTTTACCTGTGTGAATAGTGGTTAATGTGAAAGAACTGATTCTTTTGCTAAAATATTTCTTATATTATTTATATTATTTTTACAAACCTTTAATAGAAATTGGCTAAAACTAGACTTCTGCATCTAAATATGGAGAGCAGAGTGCCACCAAAAATCAGAATCTTCCCTTACTCCTTGAATTTCTTGCTAATGGTCACAGCATGCAGCTCAATAATCCAAAGGCTGCAGCAGTAAAGAGTTCCGGATATGAGATGTTTCAGCCTCTGGCAAAGTCCCAGCATAAGGACAAAACCAAGCCAACTTTCTATTACATTCTGACAGAAAACATAAACAAGTGACACTGACCCAAGTCCTAGAACACACTCAGTCACCTGCAAAACCATACCACTTCCTCCCTTTTGGAAATAGTCCATATGAACTCTGCTGATTTCCTTCAGTGACTGAAGAAGGAGCTGCTGCTGTGATGTCCCCCCTCTTTTAACAAACCTGAAGCACCTTCTCAGGCCTATGTCAGCTGCCACAATCTATTTGCTTCCGTACCTCCAAATATGCAGGGCTCCAATATCTGTTGTGATTGATACCCATATGAAACTACTCAGTATCTTACTGCAGACTGTAAGTTTAGACCATTTGCTTTATAGCTGGCAAGCAGCTCAAATAAGGATCTTGGGAAAAAAGCAAGTCTCATAAGTAATGCCATTGCAGATGAAATACAACTGCTAAGTGTATAAATCCACTCTTAGGCTGTTAGTGTCACTGAACAGGATGGTTCAGGATCATGGATGAGTGTTGACATAAATTAGTCAGCAACTCAGTTTGTTGCAGCAGCATGTGGGTTGCTTCGTGCCACTGTCAAAAATGGGTACATTAAATTCCCTCTCCAGAGCTCTCATAGCAATATAAACCTTCTGAAATGCTATTTGCTAATCTTCCATACCTTCCAGAGTCATGGATCAGTGTGTGATTCTAAAAAGTCTTATCTCAGAATGCTAAATAAGATGAACTTTGGTAACAGCTATACTGACCTTACTCTGCACTACTGTTGCTGAGGCTTTGCCCTGTGGTATGAAATCAATGATCTCTATCTTTCATGTGGCATGAGCCTATCAGGAAAATCTTCATGTACCATGTGTCTTAAAGTGTTTAAGTTTAAACCCTTTCTCTTTAAGAAAGGAGTCAATAAGTATATTTCAAGTCCCAGCATAACACTCGCTCTCCCCATGTGACACTTCAGAAATTCATGATGTGTGACTCAGAGCTGAAGGATCCTTGTCTTTGTTCAGGAAAATTGATTCCATTCTTTCTGTGGTGTTGCTGAGGATATTCCACTATTCTTCTGCTTTCTACTGCCTGCAGTCCTAAAAGCATGACTCTGAAGGTGCTAATAACTCTCACAGAACTGAACCATTTTATTTTTGCTGTCACACTGTAAGGAGAGAAGAATGTTTGAAAGTGCTGCATGATTTAATGTGCCTTGTGCATTTCTTCTCAAGAGCTAAGGGGGAACCTGGTACATCAGTATTCCACATACTAATTCCTCTCTTCTGTTCAAAAAGCTTAAGTATCAAAGCTTAAGCATCTGAGACATACTCTCATGTATGGAATTCACCATAACCATGAGCAAATCAGTGTTTCAGGACTTATGTATATGTATTAGAGGTGTTTTTTCCTGATTTCAAAATCTTTAGTATCCCAAAGAATATTTCTGTGTCCCTTACTAACAGTCTGAGAAACTAGGTTCTATTTACAATACGGAAATGACAGCTAAGAGGAGGATTTTTGAAGAGAGAGCACCTATGCATCATGACATCAATTCCTTTCATTTCAGTCTGCAACGGAAAATGTTGCTGTAGCCACTGAGGGAAGCACTGCAGCATGAGCACAACCTATATTAAACTACAGAAAATCACCACAAACACTTTGTTCTTACTGTACTACCTGTAGAAAAGACTTTGAGCTGGAACTCAGATCTTATCTCACAAAAGAGAATTTCAGAAGGCTGAAATTCTGATGATATAACAGGTGGAAGGAAATAAGGTTGAGACAAAACTTAAATAGAAGCTCATTCACCATTATTTAGCAGTTCATTATATTCATGGCAAAAACCTCAGTGCTCCATCCATGTGAACTATGCAGTTACTTCAGACATTTGGATGACCAGATGGCAATTCCCACCCTGCCAAGACACGGCCAGTTTAGTTCACACAGGGCCTTGTGTAACAGTCCTTAGCTGTTATGTCCTACTTTAACCTCAGCCTATCCTACTGCCACAGATATCTACCTCACTTTCCTGCTGCAGTCCTATTCCCAGTAATTTTTTTTTCACAGAAAAGCTGCCACTGTGATGTACAGAGAATGGAATTAAACAGGAGACAATCTGGGGAAAAGGAAAAGGAGATGGTAGAGAGAGTGTGGAATTGCAAAGACAGGAAAAGAGAAAACGGTTATGGGATACTTTAAAGCAAGTGAGGAAAGAAAAAGTCAGGAGCAGCAAAGTACATCACATAACTACTACCCACTTCCTATCAAATGCCACATTCTTCCTTCTTGCTGTCTCTGTGTCCTCAGCATCTTCTGTGCATTGCATCAGCAGCTTCATTCATCTACCTGTTCTCAGCAGGAAAGCAGCTAGAGATGTTCCCACTAAGGACTATCATTTAATAAACTTCCCAGCCATCTCTCTCCTTCTGCTTGTCTGATTGTACAAGAAAGCTGTAGAAGTACATAATGTGCACACCCAGGAAAAGAGAAGCTGTATCAAAATCTTAGAGCACATAACAACTTTGCCTTGTGAGACAGCACCTGAGAAAAATCTCAGTCCAATCCATTAATCTATACATCCTCTTCAAAGTATCTCATTATATATTCTAAAGATCAAAGATTCCCCTCCCTCCCCCATCTCTAATGTACTGGCAGCAACTATGACAGCAGATGAACAGCCCTTTAATTCATTCGGTTTCTGTGTTCCAGTGTTCACTCATATTGCCTATTGTTCATTGCATCTAGAGCACCCAAAATTACCTGGGTGTCATCTGTTCAGCCAGCTCCTGGACCACTTAGCTTCCAAGATTTGGTGTGCTTAGTCTGGTACAGACAGAGCTGGAAAGTCAGTGTGTCAGTGTATAAACAAGCAGATCTCTTTTATAGTTTACTTCTCACAGAATCAGCTATATTCAAGTGGCCTGAAAGGAAAACATAAAAACACTGTGAGCAGTGTCTGATACCTTGTGCACCAACACAGCAAACCCTGGAAGATGTCTGTGCCTGCTCATGTCCCTACAAAGCCTGAAACTATGCCAGCTGTAGGGAGAACACACAGGATTAGATAATATCAACTTCAGAGAAGAGCAGTCTCTGCTGGGCTCGAGAGCTGCTTCAAGCAACATTCCATTACCTCTTCCTTGCACCACCAATGCCCTGGGAAGCACCAAGAGTTACCAGCCAGAGGGGGTAGTAGCAGTGCTGAAGTAACATCTAGAATACACTGTAACAGGGAAGGGCTGACTACAGGAACTTTGGATCCAAACTGATCCGACTGCATGGTTTCACTCAGTTCTAGAGACTTCGTTATTCTTGCTTCTTTTGGTCCCTGACCCTCTGTTTGAAGGACAAAGATAATTTTTCTCCCTTGGTCACCACAGAATATAATTTCATTAACTCACTTTTATGCAAGTACCAGTTAGCTGGCCCTTTGGTACCAGGACAAGTGTTACAGCAACAGACCGTAAGGTCTCTAACATGAGCCTAAGGGCAGGATGGAAAAAACAAAGCCAGGAGAGGAGACTGCGTTTATTTAGGCATTCATGTGTCCTCCTCCTTTTTCCTACTTGTTCTCTCCCTCTGTCTTCCTGGCCTTCTTGCTTTTGGGACACTGGGGCCATGTTATCTCCAAAGTAAGTTGGGGAAGAGGCTGCTATGCTAAGACAGTGTGTGATGCAAAATGTGTGCCAGGGCAAAGACTCCCAGAAAAACATACCAAAGGCCAAATGATTGGTGAAAAGGTTCATCTGTAACATCTGATATACTGAATCATCTGCCTTGGGCAGAATCTTAATCCCATGCCACGTTTCTTGCATCATCCAAAGGCTTTCTAGCTTCTGCCATTTAATTAATTGCAAAGGGAATATGTTGCTGGGAAAATGAATTACATCTACTATAAATATTTTGGAAAGACCAAGGCATTGTCAGAGTCAGTGGAGTCATGTCAGTTTATGCCAGACAGAATCTGGACTTTCCTCTGCTAAAATAGATGCAGAAGTAAAATGGTTATTGAAGAAAATCCCCAAAGACTGTATTCTCTTACTGTTTCCCCTGGAAATCCCAGCCATTTCACAGTCAGGAGGTCAGAAAGCTAAATGTTTAAATTCATTATTGTACTGTTGTTAGATTATTTTTTGGTCCTTTTTTTTTTTTTCTTAAACCAGCAGTCAATCACCTCATTGTCATACACTTGGTTAGCTGAGTCAAAGACCTTACTTGAACTAGCCTTGTATAATACTTTACTTCATTTCAGACAATCTAACCACTGTGTTTTATGTTAAGAGCACACAAAAGTTTTTCAGCTTTCCACAGATGCCATGGTTACCCTTATTTCTAAACAACATCTGGAATTAGATGTTTTGAGATGGGACTGTAGGCTAGAAATGCCTAATGAAAGCATGAAGGGAAAAGAAATCTCTTAAATGGCAGATAGAAAAACATCCTCAAAAGCTTTGCACTTAGCATGACAAAAAAAAAAAAGAGTCGGGGAGCAGGAGAGCTGGCCTGGAAACACAAATTACTTTTCCAGAAGTAAACACATGAAAAATTAATCTACTCTCACCTGTGACAAAATTGCATTCAAGAAGTCTCTTGAACTCGAGCTTTACTCTTCATTGTGCAGCCAAGCAGATTCAGTTTAAAGACGTATTTTGCTTATAATGCACTCCCACAGACTTTCTTCATTTTGTTTTCAAAGCCATGAGTGGATATTATAATGCTGATACAAGTTTCCTCAGAGTCTTGAAGGTGGCAAAAGCCCCTTAATAAGCAGAGAGATTTTATTCACTTACAGCAAATATGTGTTTAAACATATGTCCTAATAAAGACAAGGCAAGGCTGACCTAGAATCCACTTGCCAACTTTATTTTAGCAAATTTTCAGCATTCATTACGTTCAGAGCTACAAATCACTTTTCAGAACAAACAGAACACTTTAAAAAGGAGTAGGATGCAAAATAAATGCTGTCTTTACTCTTGGAACCATCAGCAGTATTTCTATGCATAAAATAATGAGACAGGAAATAAAAAATATTAAAGAACAAAACCCAAAGCAAATTGACTGCTGGCACATGAACTGGTCAAATGTTTATTTTTCTAAAGAACAGCTTTTATTAATTTTCTGTCATGTTGCAATAACTTGGATGTGAATGTAGTGATCTATATCCAGGACCCAAAAAAGTGCAAAAAAAGCATAGATGCTGACAACATACAGATATTTGCCACATGTCCCTCCAGCCCCATAAAAACTTATTCTTTTTTAAAATGATTCACACAAATTAATTGCAGAAAGGATTGACACACGGAGCTAATTTCAAATGTAGTGCAACTTGGTAAAATGACTACAGATTTAAACAAACATTGTTCCCAAGATTTTTCTGCAGTGTACAACAGATTTAACCTCTAATTTCCTTCTGACTAAGTGCATACAACTTATTGCTTTGGGAAAGAATATTCATATCAGATTTTACTTGGTGTCATTTCACATGTATGACCCAATACAATCCCTAATTTCCCACCTGGCCTGTGCCCCATTGTACAAAATAAAACTCCTTTCCCAAAGGATTTATGTGGTACTGCAATGAAAAACTTCAGAGCCAAACCCACTGCACTTTGTGATGTCCTGTGAAACTGATTGAAGCCAAATAACTTCTGGACAATTAATTATGAGGATTTTTATAAACACCATGAACAAGATTTAGGAAGGTATAAGCATGCCTGTGCTCTTAACAGAGAGGAGTTGGGGACAGTCTGAAAAGGCCCAACATTAAGCTAAAATCAAGAACAAAATGAAGAGCTAACAGCTATGCAGATTTCTGTGCGCATGCCTGACCAGTATATATGAGAGGACACATAGCTATTTTAAGGGAGCAGTATGCAATAGTAAAGACTCCTAACAAGAGAAGATGGCAAATCCAAATTTGAGCTCTGATTGCAGAAAAAAAAAACCCAAACAATGAACTTTTTAAAAGACTGACTCTATAATACAATTATTCTTTCACTTCAACCCCAATCCATGATCAGCTGACATCCCAAAATACCAACAGAATAATTTCCTACCTTTACTACATATCTTACAGTTCTCATGTTTTTCAACAACCCTACTGAAAACTGTGAGTTTAATGGATGCTTCATGTATGCAGAATCTGGCCTGTAATTTCTTACTGATACCTAAAACAAAGGACCAATGTAAATAAACGGAAAAGGTAGCTGACATATTTTGCTACTCAAGGTCTGAAACTTTAAGACACCTGAATTCTAATCTTTATTTTGTTATCACACCAAAAGTTTCAAAACAGTGACACAAGATAGAAAAGAGCACAACGTAGTCCTGATTTCAGTTATGTATTTCCCAAGATATTTACCTTGGGTGAAAAGTAAATATAGAATTCAAACAATCTGGTTTAAGATAGAATTCTGTCCATGCTTATACACTTACCCATTACTCACTAGAAGCACTCTTCATGAACAGAAAAGTCTTCGTAAAAATTCAGACACTCCTCATTAATGGCAGACCATCTGGAATGCAAACAAGCCCACCGAGTGAGCAGGTCAGTCAATACAAGTATAGCCCTTATCCATTACCTACTGAATTCAGCCTGCATTGAGCCTAGGGCTCCAAGTTAAATACTTCATTCATTCACAGACTTAGATTTACTCTGGCAAGCTTCAGAATGGGAAATAGGCTTCAACAGTCAGCTCACAAGATAATGAACTTTATTGACATTGCTGTAAATTCGAAGTTTGTGTTTGCTGTCAGTCAGGTATGATGTGATGCCTATTGATTTGTGGTCAAAGGACATAATGATTTTAGCCCTCAGAGCTGGATGAACTCTAACCCCTACTGATGGTGAAGAAGATGGTTACACAGCTTTCCTTGTGCTATTAAAGGACTACAAATTACTGGAAATAGTTCGTGCCACTCTGACCAGGGGACCTGGGAGCAATACAGACAGTTGACCACCACTATGTCTTGTGGCCTGTCCTAACATATGAAATTTGCCTCCCCTTCAGAAATCTATACCTCAGTCATACAAATCTCTTGGGAACAAGCCTGGATCCAGGATACACTGAGAGCCCTCTTCACTTTGTGGAGTATGGAGAGGCTGGCGAGGGCAGAGGAGGTGGGTTCAGTTAGGAGCAGAATGAGTTAATACTTGAATTAGGAGATTTACTAAGCAAATGGAAAAGAAATTGTGTGCTAACTTTCCAGCTTTTCTTGTCTCTTTTATATTTTTAAGCATACGTGCATATGTGCTGCAGGAGTGTATTTTCTAGATGAATGTGCTGTCCTCCACGTGCTGAGTCAATCCATTCCTTGTTTATTTACTCATATGACTTAAGACACTATTTCTCTTTCTGTATGGCCATTTGTTAATGATTCATAACTCTGTTAAAAATGTGCTTGTAATTAGTCCTCCATATGCAACACACAGACTACAGCAACCTCAACCAGTCTGAAGTGGACAAAGAATCTGCACTTTTGCAGACCTCTCTGCTCCCCTGCCTCCTCTTAACAAGGCAGCAGCAGGGGTGGAGCTTTTAGTGTTTTGGATACACTTATTTTCCATTCAGACCTCTTCTGTTTTCCAGAGTATTTCCTTTTCTGACACGTTTATTTTCCTCCCTTACAATAGTTAACGTAGACAAAATTTATCCAGTTACTATGAAAAGTCTATCATCTGTTCTCTTCCCCTCTATGTAAAGGAACACTCTATTCTGATACTTCCCTCTTGTAGCCAGAAGCCACTGAAGCCTTTAGGAAAACAACTTTTTTTAAACACTGACTCAATAACACAATTATTCTTTCACAACTGCATAGTGCTAAAGGCCTGTTCCTGTTCTACTTGGAGGCAATCTGGTTCTAAGAACAAGAGCACTTTCTGTATTTCTTAAAAAGGTTCAAGATAACTAAGTAACT